TTTTTTCATTCATAAATCAAGGCTCCATAATTAAGTTAACAGTAACTTGTCTTATACATATAAACAACTTACGTATATGCTCCGTCAGATTTTGATTTTGATTTTAATCAATATGTAGGCGCTTTAACGCCGTTTATTTGTTTCTTCAGTACAGCGTGTTATAGACAATATATAGATATTACCGTCACAAATGGCTTTCACCTGTCGAGTTGTCGTTCTAATGTGAAAAACAAGAGGGAGCAGAAATTACCGACATAACAACTGCGCATGGGCAGAAAAAAAACTGTGTAATGACATAATTATATAAGCAAGTGAATATATGAAGATTAGGGCCCATGACCTTTGCGACACCGGTGCAGTGCTTTACCATTCAGACTTGAATTTTATTTTCAGGCTTTAATTTCACAGCTGCTTAAGTTTTGTATATAACTGCGATGATCAATCATGTCGTTACATCTTTCTCCACAGTTCAACCATATGATCATGATTTTTCATAGTCACTTCCGTTCTTCGCCGCTTGCGGTGTGACCAGCTCCCAGTTGGTTTGATAGTTTAGTTGTTGGTTAAACGCTGCACCGGTATTGCAGAGGTCATGGGTTCGAATCCCATTCAAGCCTGGTCAGGCTTTAATTTCACAGCTGCCTAGGTTGTGTACATAGCTGCGATTATCATTCACATCTTTACATTTCATTTTATAAAATAACTAAGATGTTACGCGCGGCTCGATAAGTGTGTTTAGATAAAAGTATTTAAACACGGCTGCATTCGCGCGTATTCTTGATCGAGAAATATTTTATAAATGCAATAGAGTACTTTTTCTGTGTTTACATAGCCTCATCTAAGCGCTTGGGAGGTTGGGAGAATTTTCGAAAGTTATGCAAACCCTTCACTGCTTCTCGGTTTGCATATACCTGTCTGGAAGTCTCCGAGCCACCCTCTTGTCTAGATGGGGCTATGTAAACACGGAAAAAGTACTTTATTGCTTAAATATATTAAATTCAAGTTTACTAAGGCACAGTTAAAAGCCTAGCGTCAAGTCAAGGTTAAGTCAAAGAAGTTGTATAGAGTGTATTGTTCAATTTTTTAAACCCATTCATGAGTTATAAAGTTTGTTTAAACAGTTTCTTCCAGTGACCTTCCACTATTAGCGGCACTGTTTCGGTCGGAAGACCCACTACCACTACCCGATCCATTCTCAGGTTTGGCCCGCATGAAAATGCATCTTGCTGCTTTGCGCATTTCTCGGCTTCTCCAAAAGTAGATTAATGGGTTTGCGGAGGAGTTTATCAAAATTGCTGATATGGCAAAATTCATCTCGGTTTTACTCTGATTGGCGCTGGTGAATCCCAAGACAATTTGTACAACAACCGCAGGAAGAAGGAAAACTAGCAGCGCTAAAAAGATGTAAACAATTGTCACCGCAGAACGCTTTTCCCTCTTGTAAGCGGTAATTGCGCTGCTTCCCTCTGCGTGCAAGGAATGAATGCTGTTTCGCTTAATGCTGACCATCAGTGCTATCTGAATAGCGAGAAGGTAAATCACTAAGATGCCAGCGACAATGGAAGTGATAATCCCATTACTTTCTTCATCGATACCCGTGTAACGGAGAACAATGAAAACGATCCATGCAATCCACACAATGACCATGTTACGAGTGGCTTTTCCGGTTGTCACAAGAGCACGGTAATGTAACGGCCTTGACACAGCCATGAAACGGTCGGTACTAAGGTACGCCAGGCACAGAAACGATCCCCCAGTGCACACATAAAGGAATGCTTCGTAGAGGGAGTGCAACAGCTCGGAGCGACAGATGGTAGATGGGTAATGTAGCAATACCCGCCAGGCAACAAAAAGAGGTTGAGTGACTAAGCCAACCAGTAGATCCGTTAAGGACAGGCTACAAAGGAGAATGTTTGCTGGGATGCGAAGTTCCTTGGCCTTACAGATTGTGGTTAAAACTACGATGTTGCNATGTAATCTAATGCGTTGATATTGCATTTCCAAAATTTTCATTAATTAGAACCAGCTAGTTTTGTTTCTGTAAAAAAATTCCTTATTATTTATCGCACTCGGACTGTTGGGTTTTTTTGTTTTGGTTATTCGATCGTTGTACAGAACTGTTTGGCAAAGAATTTTATTGCTGTACTAGCGATATTTTCGCAAAAATTGGACCTTCATATGCACGACTTTGTCTGTTTGCTTTTCCTAGTATCAAGATGCTGCCCGTATGAAGATGAATGGCAGATGGAACAATGAACGCAACGTCATTAATGTGAGCACGTTTCTGTTCCATTTATCAAATTAGGACAAAATGTCATCGCTAATAATCTGCCGTATGCATTTCTCTTTCCGTTTCTTTTTGTTCCCACGTTGACTTGGCACCAGATGCATTGTCTAAATTATTGTTAATTTTAACGAAAGCTAATAGAAAGCATGAAAATGGGGTATCATACGAACGTAAAAATTGTTTTCAAAATAACCTTAAATAATCATTAGTCGACTGAGTATAAAAGGAATAATCTGGATATTTTTATGCACGTGGTTATGATTCACCAAGCTCTCCGCTGTCGCGCTAAGAATATTTTAAGACTCACCGTATGTGATAAAGTTGCTATTGATAACAAAATGAACAGGAAAAGAAGCTTTTTCCATATTTTATCTTTAATCTCTGGAAGATGACGATTAATTTGATATTTCCGTAGCTATATCTGGATACTGATATCCAGTCATAAAAATAAATGTTTCGATAGTGAAATGTTTCAGCATGAAATACATGTTAAGGTATCGATATCAGACTTGTTCAATATACCAAAACCTGATTCACTTCAGTGATAACAGGGCTATAAATTCCTTCTATTGCTTCGAGAAAGAACAAAAAGCACATCGGAAATAATGACATTGAGCAAGCCATCTCGCACTCGAATCTTCTTAAAATAATTCACAGCAACTTATTCATAGGCTTGAATAAGAAAAAAGATAGATCTTCGCGTGTCACTGTATGTGAGTGTCTTCGATTCGTGCGTACGTGATGTTGTGTTTGCGGCTTCTTCTAGAAATTAGATTCGTTGGATTGACAACTAAAAAGATCGCATATAAAAATATCTTACTTGGTCGAAGTGAAATATATAGCTCTCCTGCAATTTACACGTTCTCCTTTTTAAAACTTTGAAAAACTAATGAGTGTAAATCCTTGCTTTAGTGACCAGCTATCTAAGAAATCGTCTGGAATCATCCTTCCCTTTCAATATTGCATGGGCTTATAAATGAATATCTAGTTTTAACCCTAACGGACCTGCGCTATACAACTTCGGACTTTGCCAAAATGTAGACCTTGAGAACAATATTAAAGAACAATCCACCCCCTACTTTTGTAAATAGACCGGTCAAACTGGATTTCTGATTAAATTGCTTGGTTTTGTACAATGGTCGTTCGTCGCTCTTGGCCAAATGATAGTTTCTCTTTTTTAAAAAAAGATTTGTTTTATTAAAACGGAAGGCTAAACTGTACTATCGAGCATACGTCATATTCAGGAGCAATTTATTTACCATGTGTCAGATCTTTCCCAACAAAATGTCATCCTTCGTTGGCACGGTCGTGATTAACTTGTTGTGGATAAGAAAACCGAAAGGAACAATTGACTTTCAATTCTAAACGATTCAACCCTGAAAATTCAAGCGCACGGCGATAAATGTGCTATTTTCCAATATATTAGTTTATAAATATTTAGTCATACTGATATTCTAATGTTTCTAAAGCATGAAATACACACAAAGGTACCGATCTCAGGATAAGACTTTTTATTAGCATGATCCGCTTTACTGAATAGAAGTTGCATATACCACTAACTTGCTCATACTACTTCAAGCAAGAGAAAGGGTTCAGTTTGAAAAATTATCATGGGCCCATTAATTACTTTGAACAAGCCATCTTGCACTGAATCTTAAATATTTAAAAATCTGTGTCTTTTCAGGTTCGTGATGTTACATGCATGTTTACTGTTTCTCCTCAAAATTCGATCTTCGGATTGATAACTATAAAAGCAGTACAAATTTTTATTTTGTCAGTGTGAAAAATGCAGCTTTGCTTTAAGTATTAAAGGACAATTTCACGATTTGAAACAATCCTGGATTTAAATGGTTGATTTCAAGAACCAGCCATCTCAAAATAAATTGTCTGAAATGAACATCCTTGTTCAAAAATTAGGGCTGATGGATGAACTACTAGCTTGAATTATAACGAAACTGCACGGTATATAATCTCGTACCTAACAAATATTTTGGATTTGGCACAACATTAAGAACAAACCATTACTTACTTTAGTCGATGAAACAGCAAAATGGGCTCTGAATGTAATTGCCTTATTGTATGATGAGGTCTTTCGCTTGTGGCTTGCAGGATAGTTTCTCCTTTTAAAAGGCTGGATGTATGATAAAAAGTGAAACACTAAACCCCACTACAGTGTACGTCATACTGATTGATCGCCATCTGTCATCTCCTTTTCAAACGAATGTCATCTCTCATTACTTTCTTAATTATTCTTTTTTTGCTCTTATCGGCATCAGTGCAATCCTCACTTTTCCGTTTTAGAAAATTAAATATCAGTGAGCCTTCAGATTCAAGTTTGCTTGCGTGATTGGCACGGTGGCTCTTTTTAATTTTTGACATACAGTAGCTATATAAAAAAAAGCTAATAAAGCAAACATTTGAAATGTAACACCCAAATGTATTGGAAATTGTTACCTAGCAAAAATTCGACTCCTCGTGGAAAGTTCTAGCCGCGGGCCATGACAAAGTTAATTAAAAGTCAAGATCGTCTTGTATGTAGCCGATATAATTATTATAATCATTTGTTAACAGAGCGGAATCGTTGTGTCTTTTCAGTAAATTTTCTTTTCTACAGAGGATGTCAAATTGCTTTAGATTTCTTTTCAATAAGTGCAAAAATTCGCCGCCTTACCTCTATCAGTGTTCAGTTGTTATCCTGCAATATGTTCCAGTTGTTACTATATGTCTCTCACTAAAGGATCTATTCTTTTGCCAACATTTTTCCAAAAACGAACCTCAAATAGATCTTTCGAATTCGATTGGCAGCAAAAACGCTCTGGTCGCTGAAATACCACAAGGCCATCTTGAGTTAACAAACAGCTGCAATGTTGTGAAACCAAGTTATCATAAGCTGGTTAACTGGGTAGATTTTTCTTAAACATGACCACAAGTTTCTTTCTTTAACACCTGATATTGAAGTGTACGTGCTTCCTGGTTGAGATCGACCTTGGAAACGCGATAAAGAAAATGAATCCAAAATTTAAAAAAATACGGGCAAATGTGAGTTTTTAATAATTTTCAATTTTTTGAATTACAACCTTGATCAAAACGTGCTTCGTGCTTGAAAACCTCTTCCGCTGTATAATTGATCAGTACATGCAGTTGTATATTAAATATATAATATATTATCTAATTGCACAAGATCAATTTTTGGAGAAAAGTATAAATCTGACGTTGCCTTTGAATTTATTCTCCCGAGGTTAGAATAAGAAAATGCTCGCGTATGCTACTTTTGTAACGCTACGCAGAAATACGAGAAAAACGCTCATATTTCCACAAAGCAATTCATCAATCATGAGGTTATGATGAAGGAAACAAAAGCCGGGTCAAACTAAACAATGTTTGAGTCATTGCTGAAATCTAATAGCGGAACCCAACTACTATAGCCTGAGACATTACTATTGTCTAAATAATCCGGCCATTTATCAAGAAAATCATTTGTCTTGCTTTTAATTCTTCTAGTACATATGGAAAGCATTTATATTGTAGTATTTTCATATTTTTGGCGAATTTATTATGCCTTGGTTTAATTTGTAAATTTCCCTACATTTGGGTGCTTAAAAAATGAATATGGTGACGCCGAGGGCGACACCTAGTAAAACATGATTGTGTAGTTTACCATACCTAGATCTGTTGTGTACATATATCAAGCTAAATATAGAAAAAGAACGTTCTGTTCCAAAAATAAATAGGTAAAACTAAGCGCTCTATAGAGCGATGTTCTCGAAACTAACAGAACTTGATCATTTTGTCGTTATTGTTTTGCAGAGGACGATTAAAAATTAACGCGCATGGAAGGCTAAGAAACGTTTTAGCTCCCTAATATCAAATGATTTTGAAACTTTACTTGGTATTTGAAACCGCGTCTTTTGTCAATAGAACTAGTGTTCATACCAAAATGCTTCCGCCGTTCAAAACTTTCTGGTTTACTTACGAAAAATGCTATATCCGTTATTTGCATCAATTATCAGGGAATTTCAGTTCATGTCACATACAAAAGCATCCGAAGTATCCGAAGTATCCGATTTTCTACGGTCTTGTTCAACGTGCATTCTTCACAATCTTAAAGGTGCTAGTAGGACTGTACATTTGAATTTAGAAAAGGTATAAGGCGAATATAACTTGTGGTTTTTCTCACTAAATGATATTAAAGATCTGAAAGGCTTTCTATGAGTCCTACTCTTGTCCCTTTACAGAATACCTATCAGGAAACCAACACCTGAGTATAATCATACTCTCTTAAACAGAAACAAAAAAACTGGAACCCAAAAAACGTGAACAACAAAAGGAGGAGACTACAGAAAGTTTTAAACGTTTCAGTTGGATAAAACAAAACATAATTTGTCCCTCTCACACATAAATCTACTCTTGCTCGGAAAGGAAACCTTCGTGGGTTTACAGTTCACAGTTTTTTAAGCAAAGTGATTTACGCCCTTTTGTTGTAACTAGAGCTAGATCAAGTTTTCAATTTTCTGTTTGACAACTTTCTGAATGAAATGTAACACGTTTTGGGATATGAGATATAACCAGTGTTAGCATGTTTTCTGCTAAAATAAATTGTTCTTGTTGTCTTAAGGAAATATAGTTCAAAATCAAATTATAATACGAAAGACACTTATCATCATTAATTGATTCCATGACCCTGAAAATAAGCACACATTTTGAATTTCTG